CAGTACTCCCTCCAGATTCACTCTTTGTTTCACCATTCTCGAATTATTTTTCAAGGCTCGTACTCCGTGAGTTTTGACTGCGTCTTTTAAAGATCTCTTATTTTTAATACGTCTAACCCCGTTCTAGCAGCAGCAGTCAAGGCCTGTTTAGCCCCCGTTTTCAGTAAATCAGTAAAAAATCCTCTGCCTCTCTGTCTTCTTCTTTTTCTTCTTGTTATTTTAATCACCATTCCCGATCCCCTCTGTTTTTTCATTCTCTTTCTTCTTCTTTTCTTAGTACCTCCTAGATTCATTCTTTGTTTCACCATTCCCGAAGTATTTTTTAACCCCGTTCTAGCAGCAGCAGTCAAGGCGTGTTTAGCTCCGGTTTTCAATAAATCAGTAAAAATCCTTTCCCTCTTTGATAGTTTTGGGGTTGATAATAGGCTGGTGGTGGTGGGGGTTGCTGCTGAGCCCCTCCTAATAATCCTCCTACTAGATTGCTGACTAAGGGAGCTGCTACTTTAAATAGGGATCCTAAAAAACCGTGTCCTTTTTGACGTAATAAACCTTTATGATAGACAAACTGTCCGTGTCCTCTTTGTCTCAGTAATCCGGGATGATACTGCATGTTTCATGTCTCTTGCTCAACTGACCTTTCTGTACTCAGGGACTTCCTTTTATACCTTTTAGGACTGAATACAATACAGACAGCATACCAGACAAGCCATCACTCCCAATAAGATGTAACAAAACAACTGTACATTCATCTCAGTATACTTTTCTGAAATGAAGTTTCACCACTGATTTACCACTTACAAAGGGCATGGGAGTCCCTAAAGGAGTCAAGATGTGCATCTCAATGGTATCGAAATGTTTTTTACTTAGTTTCAAATATTCCGCTCTAACGGGTTCCCATTTGGCTTGTTTTGAGTCCTCCAAATGAAATGTACAAGGAACCACTCTTAATAATTTCAAGGCATTGGATCCTTCTGTCTTGGGTTGAATCAAGTCACAATAGACATACATGGATTTCAGATTTTCATATAAATCCACAGTATTGTTTCCCAAGTAACTAATGTTGATCCATTTGGTCATGTTTTCTGTATCGTTCTGAAGAATGACCTTCTTACTGTCCATTCCTAGCTTATAAGCTAAGGATGTGGGGAAACGAATGCACAAAGGAGTTTTTTAAGCATTTTTCCATTAAATTGATACATCACTCTATCATATGTCTGGTAATATATTAATTTCATGGAATTTTCTTCATCTGGATGACCAAGGGTTTTCCATATTTTTTTTTCAATGATCTCTCTAGTCCTAAACCTATTTCCTCTGTTAAAGCCATGGGGTGAGTGTAAGGCCTGGGTCTGAAGTGAATTCGCCTAATTTCCATCTTGCTGTCTCTATCAATGAGTTGAGCCCATTTAGTATGGGCCCAATCTATCAGTACAGGACATTCACTTAATGGCATCGCGTCTATGGTTTTCATTTTAAATCTGCCCGATTTAAAAACATTTGGGTCTTTGATATGGGAAGCAAAAGATTGAGGGATCAGGATGTCAAAATAAGCCTCCTCTTCTGTGATGTTTTTCAATGAATTGGGATACATCATTTCTGTTAAAGCCATCTCCCATTCTCCGTCTGTTAAATCGACTGTTTGTGGCAATAATGTTTTAAATTGGGCTGTCGTATTCCCCTGAAAAGAGGCCATGGACCCATCAGTGGGTAAAGTCATGTAAAAAGTACTGCTCTCGGCCATGTTCAGTCTACTACTGAGACCCCAGGCCCTGTGACCTTTCTATTTATAACAACACTTTTTAGAAAAAAACATTTTATTCAATTTTTTTTTCTTCTTCTTCTTCTGATCTGTAATCAATCACTCGATTCAACACACCAAGTCCTTCCTTTTCCACATTGTCTTTAATTTGGGAAAAGGGGATGCGACAATACACGTACTCTGTAGGACAGTAATGAGGTGGAAACGTCAGTCCTTTTTTCTCCATCTTGAAAAAATGTTTCACACACTCTCCGATGTCCGAGTACCAACCACTTTCATTTAGCACCATGTTGATGGGTGTCAGACTATTCATATGAGTACAAGTGTCCCATTTGTATTGTTGATAATGTTGATTGATTTTCACCCTCACTCTATTTCCTTTAGGACATGGGATTTTAACTCTTTTTTTCCAACCACACATTTTTGAGGGAATATCCTGGATGATTTTCAAAGAAATCCATGATGGCTCCTATTTTACTTTTCATCCAGCCTCCTTGCATGTACATAAACTGACTGATGGGACTCTCACAATACCAACGATACTGCATCTTTGAAATACGTCTGACTTGGGGAATGAACTTTTTCAGAATGAGAGGGCCTTTAAGTCTACCTCTTTATAAACCCCAATCTATTTTAAGTATCTCAGGAAAACCAAAACAAAATCATATTTTATTAATTATTACCTTCATATCGACACAAAGGACAACTTTTGTAAGAAAGCCTTATAATGAACTTGCAGCACTTTTCACAGCAGGGATATTTCATGCACTGCTGACATTTCCATTTTCCTTGAGTGTTGTCTTCCCAGCAGGAGGGGCACCTCTCGATCTTGTTATTTCTTCGCATGAGCTTGGCCCAAGGTGGTATCATATAATCAATACCATATTTCCACAGAAAATATTTCAGGCACCAATCACAGTGACAACGCTCCACACTAGGGGGATAGTCTATTGTCAGTGAGGTATGCGTTCTCCACATTCATTACATCCCTAATAGACATCAATAACTTCATCATCACTGTCATACACAGGTATTCTGCTGACCTCGTTCAACTGGTTACACAATGAGGACATTTACTATGTTCTTGGTTAATGAAATAAGACATTCTCCACACGTAAGTCATGATTGCCAAAATGAGCACAGTCAGACTGAAACGTCGGTTTTATATCTGTTGATATCTATTTTTAGTCTCTAGGGAAAAACCAACAACACCAGAATTTTTTTTCTTAGGTTTTTTTTATTCATAACAACAATCTCATAATAACAAACATTCAAAACTTATGTTCAGTTCTTTTTGTATGGGAAACGATCTCCTCATGTACAAATATTCTGTTTCACAGGCACAGTCCATGATGTCATATTCTTTTACCACCACTCTCTTCAGATAATCTTCATACAATCCCCGTCTTTTTCAACCATTTCCCTTGAATCCAAGTCTTCTCGGGTCCATTTCTTTGGTGAGCCAAGACATATTTGACTTTCCATTTGAATTCTAGATAATTAGGGGTTCTAGGTCCTAACAAGACCATGGCTTTTGTCCATTTGTGGTCTGGTAACTTGATTCTCTTATACAGGTAGATCTCATTGGCTCCTGTTTATCTGCTGGGATTCTTTTCAAAGAAATCTTGAATACATTTCTCTTTGTTTCTCATCCATATTCCCTTTAAAGTAGTACCTCCAGGCTCTTCTATTTTCCAACGATATTCTGAGCTTAAAAATGTATCCTCCCTGAGATCAGAAATGATCTCTGGGGGTTGGTGTCTTATTTTTATATAGAGTGGTGTATCTTTTTTCAGCTCACCTCGACGAAGTCGAGATAAGCTTATGCTATACCCCCGGCGTTGGCGTCCCAGGTTAAAGTTTTAGGAGCAAGTCCATTCCCAAGTAACTATAAGCCCTACCTAAACCAAACTTGCTTGGATGATGCATCTAGGGATGAACACTACCAGACTTGCTTCGGATGCTGGATCTGACCTACATTTTTCCATATGAGTGACGAGGTTAAAGTTTTTGGAGCAGGTTAAAGTTTTTGGAGCAGGTTCATTTCCAAGGAATTATAAGCCCTACCCGGACCAAACTTGCATGGATGATGCATCTAGGGATGGACACTACCAGATTTGCTTATGATGCTGGATCTGACCTACATTTTCATTCTCAAGTAACTATAAGCCCTAGCTAAACCAAACTTGCATGGATGATGTATTTAGAGATGTACACTACCAGACTAGCTTCGGATGCTGGATCTAACCTACATTTTCAATCCCAAGTATCTATAAGCCAAACCTGGACCAAACTTGCATGGAAGATGCATCTAGGGATGGACACTACCAGACTTGCTGCGGATACTGGATCTGACCTACATTTTCATTCTCAAGTAACTATAAGCCCTAGCTAAACCAAACTTGCATGGATGATGTATCTGGGAATGGACACTTCCAGACTAGCTTCGGATGCTGGATCTGACCTTCATTTTTATTTCCAAGTAACTATAAGCCCGTTTTGGACCAAACTTGCATGGATGATGTATCTAGGGATGCACACGACCAGACTTGCTTCGGATGCTGGATCTGACCTACTTTTTCATTCCCAAGTAACTATAAGCCCTAGCTAAACCAAACTTGCATGGATAATGCATCTAAGGATGGACAGTATCAGACTTGCTTCGGATGCTGGATCTGACCTATATTTTCCATACAAGAGACCAGGTTTAAGTTTTGGGAACAGATCAATCCAAAAGAACTTGAAGTTGTTGATATCTGCAGTATTAACAGTTATGAATATTTGTTTACACGATACATGTTTTTCACGCTACATGCATAGAAATGTGTATATGTCATGTAAGGGGTTAAACACAACTTGCAAGTATATTGTTGTTAGGATGAATACTTAACATTAAGAAAATATGATGTGAGATTTGCATTACTTAAACTGATAACATTCGTCGAGGTGAGCTTCGTAATCTTTGATTACCTATGTTTTAGATTCCTGGATTAACTTGGTGAATTGGTCTTCTTGGTGGTAGGTGTATGATGTATCATGGTAGGACTAGGCATGATGTAACCTACAGAAGAACTGACACAGACCATCCAATATTCTCGATTAGGATCTTGTAAAGCTAACATGACCACACTGGTGATGATAAAGGAAATACCAATGAATAACTGGGCAAGATACACGATTTCTTCTCGAGGAATATTCTCTCCACAAAATTTCCAGTGAGGACTTAATTGATGAGATCCGTTTAGGGAATCCATGAATCGAAACTAGGGGGATATCCTTTCCACCTGACTTTAACTTCTTGAATGATTTTCTTCCCTACACGTCGCTTTTTATACCCCAAGATTTCCTCCACTTCATACACGTCGTCTTTTTTAATGATCTGTTGTAATTCCTTCTCGTAAAAAGTGCCTTCTAGTTCCTCCCCGTGGTAATCTTGTACTCGATACACGTAAGGGTAACGACCGGGGGTCTCTTTTAGAAATGGTAAAGAGTTCTGTAGTCCAGTTGGGTAAATATCCTTTTTCAAAAGTGCGTTTGGATTTACTGATGCGCACCCGATCTCCTGTTTTAAATTTGGGTTTTTTTTAAGTGATTTCTGAGATTCCCCATATAAAGTTTTCCAGACTTTTAACACATTGGAGGGCTTCACTTGAACTGGTGTTCTTTGGATACTGCGATGATAAGTATGATTGTAAGCATACACTAAATCCGGTACGACCTCTACATACCGCCTGGTTTTATGACGAGTGAGATAGCCCCACATGCGTGCTTTGAGGGTTCTCTGAAATCGTTCTACGATACTAGCTTTGGTGTCCGTATTGCGAGTGGTAAAGAAATGAATGGATTTAAAACCTTGTAAAAATTCTTGATTGGTAAATTCTTTGCCTTGATCCGATTGAATGCGGACGGGCCGTCGACCGTCTTGTTGAAAAATCTCTTGTAATCCTCGAATCATTTCTTTTCCTGTTTTCTGTTTTAAAGGCACCACCCAAGCATATTTAGATAATACGTCAATGGCACACAATAACAAGAGGCCCATTGGCCACATCGCTCACCTGAGCAGTAAGGGTAGGAAAAAGTAGAAAATGGTTTTTTATTGTAAAGTTTAAATCCAAAACTACTCCCATGACCAATCATGGATTTGCTATTTTTTTTTTAGAAAATGATTTTTTAAAAATTTTCCTATATATATCTTTGAAAACTTTGGTCGGCCATTTTGGCCCTGCCCTAACCCATGGGGTCATGATTTGAACAAACTTGAATCTACACTACCTGAGCATGCTTCCATATAGATATGATGAATTATGGCTTTGTCATTCTTGAGAAGAAGTTTTCAAAGAATTTTCCTATATATTTCTATGCAAAACTTTGGTCAGCCATTTTGGCCCCGCCCTACCCCCGGGGGGTCATGATTTGAACAAACTTGAATCTACACTACCTGAGCATGCTTCCATATATATATGATGAATTATGGCTTTGTCATTCTTGAGAAGAAGATTTTTAAAGAATTTTCCTATATATTTCTATGCAAAACTTTGGTCGGCCATTCTGGCCCCGCCCTACCCCCGGAGGTCATGATTTGAACAAATTTGAACTACACTACCTGAGCATGCTTCATTAAAAATATGATGAATTATGGCTTTGTCATTCTTGAGAAGAAGATTTTAAAAGAATTTTCCTATATATTTCTATGCAAAACTTTGGTCGGCCATTTAGGCCCCGCCCTACCCCCGGGGGTCATGATTTGAACAAACTTGAATCTACACTACCTGAACATGCTTCCATATATATATGATGAATTATGGCTTTGTCATTCTTGAGAAGAAGATTTTTAAAGAATTTTCCTATATATTTCTATGCTAAACTTTGGTCGGCCATTCTGTCCCCGCCCTACTCCCGGGGGTCATGATTTGAAAAAAATTGAATCTACACTACCTGAGCATGCTTCCATATAAATATGATGAATTATTGCTTTGTCATTCTTGAGAAGAAGATTTTTAAAGAATTTTCCTATATATTTCTATGCAAAACTTTGGTTTGCCATTTTGGCCCTGCCCTACCCCCGGGGTCATGATTTGAACAAACTTGAATCTACACTACCTGAGCATGCTTCCATATATATATGATGAATTATGGCTTGGTCATTCTTGAGAAGAAGATTTTTAAAGAATTTTCCTATATATTATGCAAAACTTTGGTCGGCCATTTCTGGCCCCGCCCTACCCCCGGGGGTCATGATTTGAACAAACTTGTAATCTACACTACCTGAGGATGTTTTCATATAAATATGATGAATTATTGCTTTGTCATTTTTGAGAAGAAGATTTAAAAAAATTTTATATGTCTATGCAAAACTTTGGTCGGCCATTTAGGCCCCGCCCTACCCCCGGGGGTCATGATTTGAACAAACTTGAATCTACACTACCTGAACATGCTTCCATATATATATGATGAATTATGGCTTTGTCATTCTTGAGAAGAAGATTTTTAAAGAATTTTCCTATATATTTCTATGCAAAACTTTGGTCGGCCATTCTGTCCCCGCCCTACTCCCGGAGGTCATGATTTGAAAAAAATTGAATCTACACTACCTGAGCATGCATCCATATAAATATGATGAATTATTGCTTTGTCATTCTTGAGAAGAAGATTTTTAAAGAATTTTCCTATATATTTCTATGTAAAACTTTGGTTTGCCATTTTGGCCCCGCCCTACCCCCGGGGGTCATGATTTGAACAAACTTGAATCTACACTAACTGAGGATGTTTCTCCATAAGTTTCATCTTTTCTGGCACAGTGGTTCTTGAGAAGAAGATTTTTAAAATATGCCACCGAATTTTCAATTATTCCCAATTATCTCCCTTTGAACGAGGGCGTGGCCCTTCATTTGAACAAACTTGAATCCCCTTTACCCAAGGATACTTTGTGGCAAGTTTGGTTGAAATTGGCCCAGCGTTTCTTGAGAAGAAGTCGAAAATGTGAAAAGTTTACAGACAGACGGACAGACAGACGGACGCCGGACAAAATGTGATCAGAAAAGCTCCCTTGAGCTTTCAGCTCAGGTGAGCTAAAAACGTATAGCCATCATTGTGTTTCTTTTAACTGGACACATCGTCTGAATCTAATTGCCATTGTTCGTCTATATCTGTCACTCTCGTTTGCTGTCTCCGGAATTTTCTGTGAATGGGTTTATGTAAGGTATACGTTTCTTGCTCTTTTAACCATTCTCGTATCTTTTTCAAGGAAAGTTGATGTCCCAGACTTCTGACCTGCTTGTATTCCCCCATACCCTCTCTTCTGATTGTAATAAATCTCTTTTAAAATGTCTTCAACTTTCTTCTTCATTTTTTAGGCAATGAAAGCCAATCTTCTTCGATTTGTTGTAATTTCTTCTTTTCTTCTTGGGCTTTTAATTGCTTTTTAATTGCTCTAAAGGGACTAAATCCGGGTGTGAATGTTTTAAGCACTCTTGATCTCTCTTCTGCAGGTCGACTAAATAGGGGTTAAAAAGGAAGAAGAAGCATCCTGAAATCCGCTCTCTTCGTCGTCGTCACTGAAGACTCCTTTAGGAGTACTGATTTTCCCTGCCAGATTTTTTCTGGATGGCTTTTATAAGGTTTTAATTTTTTTACATAGTCCATTGGAGCATGGATCTCCTTTAAAGCTTGAGCAAATTCGTCTAATTTTTTTAGGACGGGATGATTTTTCAAGGGTTTGTTTCTCATGTTTTCAGTCATTAAATCCACAATGTTAGAATCGGGTACTTTATGACATCGATAACTGATTTCTCCGTCTTTATCCTAAGTCAACACCTTGGTTTTCTTTAAATAATTTAATAACAATTCAGCTTTCCTGATCATGGGTTTATTCACGCTTTGAATGATTTGTTGATCGATCTCTGTAACTGACTTTTCTGGATCTGCTGCTGCGGGGGCTGGCTATACTGCTGCTGCTGCTGGGGCTAGGGGTGCAGGAGGTGGTGTTTTTTGAGTCGGTGGCTCTCTCGCTTTTTGTAAATAATTCCTATAGCGATGAAGTTCTTGACCATATAAATCCACTTTTTCGTCTGGGGTTAAATCTTTACGTCTTGTTATCTCGTCCAATTCCTGACCTAAGCTAAGGGTGGTTTGAAATTCTGGGGGTTTGGGTAATTTTGCTTTGAGTTCATTCAACAGAACTTCAGGCACCAAGACCATTTTACGACTCATTTTAGGAGGTCCAACAGTAAAGGGGCGGCTGCTGCTACTAAAAGAGGAAAAAAACCTCCTTTCTGCTTGACTAATAAAGCTCTTCGTCTCTGGACAGATTGGGGTCGAACCAGTCTCCTGAAGATGTGTTTCATAGGAGCTAACTTTCGTTTCTGAGCCAAATTGAGACACTTCTAAATCGCTGGCTCTTTGACTGCCTATGGTCCCCATAGTACGATCCATTCTCAGTTCTGCTTGTTTCTTTAACAATTCCTTCATCGTCTTTTGTCTTTGGTCCTTATAATACTGATTGATTTCCTGTTTCAGACTCTTGGGCATGGCTTTACGTTGAGCCAGAGTTTGAGGGGTGGATTTGGTTTTCGCTGCTTTTTTCTTTGAAACTGATTTTTTTCTTAGGAACTGTTTTTTTCTTGGGAGCTCTCTTCTTCTTTCTGCTCTTTTGAGCTGCTCCTCCTACTCGCACCATCCAATCAGGAAACACTCTTTGTTTCTTATTATCGACTCGCACTAAGACACTTATCAACCGACGAACACGTCGTTTTTAGGGCTATTCCACTTGAATAAATGATGAATGATCACTCCACCTAGAAATCCAGCTCCTCCTTGTTTTAAAATGGCATTTTTCCTATCTTGATCACTCGCCGATTTATCGACTTTGATACTTAAATCTTTGACGATGCAGTGGGTGAAAAAAGTGGTTTCCCATCATGGGAAACTTTATGGAAACCACATGGAAACCAAGTTTACATCATGTTTCCCAGTGGTTTCCGTAGCGGATGCAAGGTTATTCCGCCAAGTTTCCGTGACACGGAAACCCCCTATGCTCCGATTCCATAAGGTATCCCAAACCATGGAAACCTCTGTAAACCTGAAGTTTCCCGAACATCCATGTAGTTTCCCGTAATGGGAAACCTGAAGATTCCACTGGTTTCCAGAATCAGGAAACTTGATGGAATCGGAGCAGGGGGTTTCCGTGGAATGGAAACTTGGTGGAATTTTTATGTTTCCTTATACTGGAAACTACATGGAAGCTCGGGAAACCTCACGATTCCTAAAGTTTCCTCGACTCTGGAAACCATATGGAATCGGAGCGTAGTGGTTTCCGTGGAATGGAAACTTGATGGAATCTTTAGGTTTCCTTATACGGGAAACTACATGGAAGCTCGGGAAACCTCACGATTCCTAAAGTTTCCTCGACTCTGGAAACCATATGGAATATGAGCGTAGTGGTTTCCTTGGAATGGAAACTTGATGGAATCTTAAGGTTTTCTTTTATGGGAAACTACATGGAAGCTCGTGAAACCTTATGATTCCTGACGTTTCCTTGACTCAGGAAACTATATGGAACTTGTGTAGCACTTTCTGTGTGGCGGAAACTTGGTGGAATTATCTGGAGTCCCATTTCTGGGAAACTTCAAGATTCCCTAACTTTTCTAAAGGAAGCAATGTGAAATATTGCGTATTGTTTTAAAAATCTATCAAAAAAATTTATTACATGTAAAAGGGAAAAGCATTACCATTTTATATGTTTAATAAATCATTTGATGTACAAAAACTGTAACTGAATTTTTCAATGATATCAAAATATTAAATAAATTCATATATCTTAGATAAACAATGGAACAGTCTTTCACATTTAAGTCCATTCATAAGGGTCATTAAGTACTTCTTTCAACATCAGTTTCCTGGTTTTCTTCACATCACCTATGATCTGCAATATTCATACAAAATTATTATATGATGTCAGAAGTATAATGCTTGAATAAAACTTAGAAATCTGAAAGATCAGTCAATGTCCTTTAATATACAATATCAATAATTATTTTCCATGACCATGAT